AAACATAATCGGGGTGAACCGGGATTCGAACCCACAATCATAGGTTTCTGGCGTGTCCAGGGGACGCAACTCTGCACAGCAAATCGCGGCGCCTTAGACGACTGGGCCACCCGTGCCCCCTTCAGCATTAGAAATTGGCACTAGTCATATAGTCCTTGCACTAGTCATATAGTCCTTGCCAAACTGCCCATATCATAAGGACTAGTAGACGTTTGAGCTTTTTAAAGGTTTTGCTATATGTTATCATTGTAAGGACTAGTGGGCTAAACCTAGCGATAGAAACTAACAGCTTTAGCCGACTAGTCCTTATAATGATAACATAGCAAAAACCCTAAAAAGGGCATATTCTACTAGTCTTTAATATACCTACCTAACTATTGCACAGTTTGGCAAGGACTATAGGTCTAGTGCCAATTTCTAACGCTGTAAACCTGTTGGTTTCTGACGCTGGTTTTCATAGACCAAAGAGCGGACCTTTATAAAGAGATCTCAGCTTAAAACACCCTGTAGACTTCTGCCCATGTGATGTCCCAAGTATGTTGCATATCACAACATCATAATATCATTAACATGTGTAAGTGACCATTGCTGATGGTTGGTTGGTTTACGCCGCACTCAGCAATATTCCAGCTATATGATGGCGGTCTGTAAATAATAGAGTCTGGACCAGACAATCCAGTGATTAATATCATGAGCATCGTTCCACGCAATTGGGATTGATGACATGCATCAACCAAGTGAACAAGCCTTACCACGCGATCCTGTTGGTGGCCTCTTACAACAAGCAGAGTTGCCTCTTACAACAAGCAGAGTTGCCTCTTACGGCAAGCATGGATTGCTGAAGCCCTGTTCTACCCAGGACCTTCACGGGTCTACCATCACTGAGATGTAGCACTTTTGTGCATAAGGTACGTACAACATACAATTGATTTTGCGAATAAATCTCATTCCAAAATATCAGCTCTCGATTCTGAGCATGACAGAGTCACAATAAGGCCAGAACCTGTTCCACAAAATAATTGTAGGGCTACGACTGTCATAAGTCTATGTTAAAGTATGGGAGTTATAATCGTCTTAGTGCTACGACTGCTTTGTGCACCAGGGCCCAGACCTACTGAATTAATACCTGAAGTGGCGTAGCTCTGAGACATTTATCAGTGGGATTTGAACCCATGATCCCTAAGGGATGCAACTCTGCACAGTTTATTACACAAGGTTAGAAACTAACAGTTTTTGTCCACTAGTCCTTATAATGATAACATATAGCAAAACCCTTAAAATGGGCCAATTTCTACTAGTCCTTAGGATACCTTTACTATTGGGCAGTTTGGTAAGGACAACAAAATTAGTACCAATTTCTAACGCTGTTACAGCCCCCTAAACAGCTTGGTCACCTGTGCCAATTGCAACCATTGGCTTAAATAAACTAGTTTATGGTGAAAGTGTATACTAACTAACACGTTTTCTATCCTAAATTACAGTTTTCGAATTCAGCTCCAGAAAGTCCAAATTTGTATCCATGGAAAAAGAAAAAAATTATTTGTGGCATCATTAATAGCAAAAGGCAGAACGTGAGTTCTTAGTGTCATCATGGTCATACAAACAGTTTCAAAAATAACATTATGAGCACGTTATGCAAAAGGTATGTTAACAATATAGAGGTAGCTTAGTTACATAGACCATTAGAGAGGTGACAGGAAGTTTGTGATGTTACCATGGCAACAAAGCATAATATCCTAAAGATCCATTTACCTCAATCTGTTTGTCAGGAACTGAAATTTTTATAGTTGTTTCTCAAAGTCAGAGTGGAAAGTGGTTTCATCTTCCTACATCTTTATGACAACCAATAAACGATCATTAAGACTCACATGTATTCATTCTAGTCTGCTTGCTGTTTGGTAATTAGATATTTTCCATTGAAAATATAACAGCCAATCAATACAAAAATAGCATGACAAGGTAATCACATTGATTGATAATTGCTTGTGTAATCAACCCAGGAAACAACCCATAAAAAGTCACTATACAGGTGTGTGTATAGGTCAGGGCTGATCGATAGACCAAATGTGCGACCCGATACATATCACGATACCTTGCTCACGATACTTACATGTGTTCTTATCTGTGGTGCGTGAGCCATCTTTTCAATAGACAGGATGGCCAAATACATAGCACACTGACGATTCAAAGTTGACAGTGTCAAGTATGCCGCAATGGATAAAAATATTTTCACTACTCACTTTCACAAGTACTGTATTCGACGTAATAAGCACCCCGCTCTAATAAGCGCCCGCGGCGATATTTACTAATATACTGGCTAGTGAACAATATCAGTTAGCACCCCTTCTGATTGATCAATGGACACAACACTTATTTATTCACGTATAATACATACTCGTGTGTTGTATGCACCCTTAATTATGGGCAATTAAATTCTGGAAAACTGTATCTTGTATATAAACATTTCAGGCACGAAATTTATCTTTCAACTTTTTTTCACCAAAATAATATTCTAATATGAGCCCCCTATTTCTAATTTTGAGAGCGCCCTGGGCGCTTATTACGTCGAATACGGTAATTGGTGCTTGGTGTAACATTTATTAAAGATTACGCTTAAGGTAAGAATCGAAACTTTTTACTTAGTGTGTGACTGTGATCGATACTTGTATCAAGAAGTAAAAAAGTGTGATCCATCAATGCATCAGTGTATCGCCCCACCACTAGTATAGGTGTATGTTAAGTTGGTGGACCGAGGGTGTCAAGATCATGTTTCATAGTCATACACCCAAAAGCCTGGAAGTATCAGCTAGGTCTGAGCCTACTATTGCCAACTGTGAAAAACGCCTACACTGACAATCCCTACAGAAGCTGTTGTTTTATTGATTACACAAAGTATTAGTAATACATCCCTGATTAAGAAAGTGGTCCAATCTTGAGTGGACTATCACCCATATCGATAGTTCAAACAGAGAAGTTTTACAAAATCAACATCCGTGTTCTGAAAACTTTGTCGCTGCTATGGCCACAACCATCACCTGTCGCATTTGCTTTGAAATTACTCCCAAACTAAAGTGAGACAAATATTTTTGAAGCGGTTCAAAGTTTTTAATCAACTCGCCTAAGTACTTTTACGAGTGCAACTTACTGAATGCCTATCGCAGGGACTGAGATGCAGTGCTATTTGTAAATGAGTGAGTATGGTTTTACGCCGCTTTTAGCAATATTCCAGCAATATCACTGCAAGGGATACCAGAAATGGGCTTCAAACATTGTACCCATGTCAGGATTCGAACCAGGGTCGAATGCTTTAACAACTAGCTTACACGACCGCCCTATTTGTAAATGAACACCATCTGATAATTCAATGGTTCTGCAATGTGCAGTGTTACAGTTTACTAGATACTGTGTAGTCTCAATAGTATGTTTGCCTCTGTTAATGTAAGAGCAGAATGTGGCAGTAATAAATATGTTTTCCGTGGTAATCTGTCATTTTGTTTGTCTGTCAGGGACGAAATCTCAAGTCCCTTCGTCATCTGATCGCCCAAATCATCTGCCGTGGTAGTCACTTTCATGAAGCCATTCAAAATATGAACAGCGATCTGATTGGATATCAAGGTTTCATCACAAGGGACACAACTAATGTTCTAAATGGGGTGGCGCTACCATCGAGCCAAGAAAAATAGGTTTGAAATGGCAAGGGCAGAAACTAGGCTTTGATATGGGCTAGTGGACACTCTTGCCTTGGGAAGATGAGCAACCACAGCTAATAATTCACTATGTCATAACATGAAAATCTACCGAAAAATGATGCAGATCAGGAAAGCACTTTCAAAAGTTTTTTTGCATGGACAGAGACTGCAATGGGAACCAAGTATGCCTGCCTCAGCAGAGTACTGGAGGTGGTTATCTGATCTGGATGTATTTAGCATGAGAGGGATTGAGATACGACTTCCTGCTCAAATGGATATCCTTACACTGTTCAGTATAATTTTGTCTTCTTGTGTTGACATCAATGATGTTTCTATGATGTTGTTCCTGTGACCTAAGATCATGAGAAGTATGTGTGAAACATTTAACCCAAAATATAACCATTCAAATCTTTATACTCTGAAAAATACTCTAAATTCTGATTCTTAGCTAAATACCAACACAATTTTGATGAACTAAAGGCTGAATACTTATCTATGTACATCATGATGTACCTCAAATGATGAACAAATGATGGGAAACAGCAGCAAAAGACAGGACAGGTACTACAGTAGAGTACCCCAGGATAGGCCTGGGACGGGTAACTCAGGTACTCGAGTGGGTACTGAGTAGGAGCCGGGTACCCCAAAGACTACACAGACCCATGTGATATATTGCCTAGAAATTCACTAAAACTCCATGGTTACACAAGTCACTGATGTTCCCATTTCTTTCTGACTATGAACGCATTCCTTCTGACTTGTAGGCCTATATGTTTGTATAAACATGAAGCTTCGGTCAACTACGATGTACTCATGACTAGATTGTTTCATATGTGTATCTAAATACCTTTTGCCAAGGCTCCGATAAAATAATAACCAATCAGACATTTTATTGGGCACACTTTTGAGACCTACAGAAGGTGACGTGAGATGAGGTGAAATGGGGCTTAACATTTCGTCTAAGATTATTGCAATTGTATAATCTTTACATGCTAATATTGATAACCCACTAGTCACTACATACTGACAAACGTGGCATTATCATCTTTAAAGAAAACACCTAGCAACTTCCATTAACAGTAGTATGAAATGTTCATATCCACATCCACAATTTTAAGTTAGGCCTAACTGTGTATGGCCGGTTTAACGACCTTCCTGGTTCAACCGTTTGGCGGCCGTATCTACCGTATCGGACAATCTGCTAAGGCTATTTCTTATGTATATTGGTTACAATCAGTTGATATGTGACAACCGGTAAGATGAATGATGGAACAGCTTAGTGACACATCTACAGGATACACATATGCTCACCTTATTTGCAAGATGTGTGTTTGTCTTTAAAGAGGAGAGGAAATCCTCTTCTTGTTTGGAACATTTCGCCTGAACATCAGAGACGTCTCGTTTGCTTCGTTCTAAACTAACCCTACTAGATATCGAATTGACTGCGTCCGCTGCTGATACTGCATACGATTGAAAACTGATAACATTTTCATTTTCGTGGACTGACCAGGTACGATTCACACAAAGACAAATCAAAACAAAAACAATAACAAGTAATCGACGTTCCATGTCGACTGCTTCCATTTTGGATCTCAGTTACTCTCACGTGAGGAAACAAATGCACAACGCCATCTAGCGGCAAGCTAAAAATAGACATTCTCGAACCCTGTTCTAGACTGTATCCAGTCTCCGTTGAAATAGGACGGGTTTTTTTCTGTTTGAATGGCGACAAGAGTATATGGCCTTATGGTGATAATAGACTAGTTGTTAATAGAGTAGGCGCCATATCTTTATTTTCGATAAAACATACAAGCAAAGAAATGTACATGTATATGTTGGCACAGCGAGTTTAGTGAATATATAGGCTTCCCGATCTCGTTGAACGAGACACATATACACACAGAGATAATTGCTCCTAGGCTGTACTGAAAAATAAGTCCATGGGTGTGTAGTAATTTTATCCTTATAAAAGGCATGTCTAGATAAGCGGACAGTACACTCTAAGGAGGCAAGTCACCTTTAGGGGCAACTTGTTCTTGTCATTTATATAATCTAGAAATTATGACTAAAACTAATATTTTTTACCTTAGAGACTTTTGCAAGTCTAAGAAAATTGGTACGTTTTAATACTATTTAATCTCTTAAATCAATAAGTCAAGTATTGATATCTCAAGTTCGATTTTTAGATATCAGTAAAACCGATGTATTTTTAGACATTGTTAAAAATGATGTATATATTTTAGATATCAGTAAAACCGATGTATTTTAGATATCAGTAAAACCGATGTATTTTTAGATATCAACAAATAGAATTAGTGACATAAAAAGGAAGTAGTGATATTACTTTCCAGACAATTAAAGTAGAATTTGCATGCCATATGTAGTACTTATATGTTAATGATCAATCGACGTTTGTTATGTGAACCAATGGAGGATTTATAAACCGAGGAGTATAATAAACTACACCTTCCTGTTGATTTTATAATGTTTGATTCTCAAGTGCAAATATTTTAAGTAAGATATTATATCCAAAATATTAACAAAACTGGCGCTTAGTCAGCACCCAAATTTAATTTGATTTTTAAAATAAAAAAGAGATATTCGCATAATACACAACTGCTGAATGATATCTTAGAATCTTCGGCACAAATTTACAACATTTCAAACATGGTAGTACGGAACCCTTTTACAGAGTTTTAGGGCCATTTGTTTAAAAAAAAAAAAAATTCGATACTAAGTTGAAATTTCAAGATAGTATCTTGAAATTTCAACTTCTATATCTTGAAATTTCAACTTAGTATCTTGAAATTTCAAGATAGAATCGAAAAAAAAAAATGGCCCTAAAAGGCTTCCGTATTGGTAGGGGTCATGTGGTTGCAAATTCTTTTCTTACCGCAATCGTCATTGAACCAATTTATTTTTACATAAGATTCCCAGCTGCAGATTACATTTTACGAACTGTTGCAGGAATGAGTGATGGTTAAATATACATAATCAAATTAAACACAGTTCGTTCAATTTTTAATTACATTAAAAACACACTTTCTTTTGTCCCTCAGTGTATGTGTGTTAACAACAACAACAACAACAACAACAACAACAACAAAAGTTTTCACTCGAAAGAGTGAGATTTTTAACGTCCATTTTAGCAATATTTCGGCAATATCACCGCGGGGGACACCAGAAATGGGCTTCACAAATTGTACCCACGTGGGGAACGAACCCAGACCTTCGGCGTGACGAGCTAACGTTTTAACCACAAGACTACCCCCACCGTCCCACACCACAAATTTGCATCACAAATTTGCATTTTAGACTTAGTTTTATAAAGAGGTGAAGAGCAAGGCCCTCATCCAACCGGGACGGAGTGTGATGAGTGATGGTAGAGATCACTGTGGCGAGCTAGAGTGAGTGAGTGAGTATGTTTTTACGTCGCTTTTAGCAATATTCCAGCAATATCACGGCGGGGGACACCAGAAATGGGCTTCACACATTGTACCCATGTCGGGAATCGAACCCGGGTCTTCGGCGTGATGAGCGAACGCTTTAACCACTAGGCTACCCGACCGCCCCTCATGGCGGGCTAGAGAAATGTAACTGGGGTGTCAGTATACAGGACTCATAGCCGACCTCCGACCTCTGCATTATAGGTGAGTGGTAACTTAAGGGGGGAGTGTAGACGTTTATGGGCAGTGTGAAGGAGGCACCGAGACCGCTCGACATCTTGACCCACGCACACCAATAAAATGACATTGTTAAGTGTTGTGTAATTAGGGGTCAAAATGAAAACTGTTGTGTTGGCTTGTAAGATTGGTTGGTTGGTTTGTTGTTTAAGGCCGCACTCAGCAATATTCCAGCTATATGACGGCGGTCTGTAAATAATCGAGTCTGGACCAGACAATCCAGTGATTAATATCATGAGCATCGATCCACGCAATTGGGATCGATGACATGCATCAACCAAGTCAGCGAGCCTGACCACCCGATCCCGTTAGTCGCCTTTTACGACAAGCATAGTCACCTTTTACGGCAAGCATGGGTTGCTGAAGACCTCTTCTACCCCGGAATCTTCACGGGTGGCTTGCAAGAACGAAGGCCATGGTGGATATGTAGTTTAATTACAATACTTGGTGTCCCGGTGTAGAGTGTTATGTTATTGGTGTTTATGAGTGAGTGAGTATGGTTTCACGCCACTTTTAGCAATATTCCAGCAATATTACGGTGGGGGACACCAGAAATGGGCTTCACACATTGTACCCATGTCTGGAATCGAACCCAGGTCTTCGGCGTGACGAGCGAACGCTTTAGCTACTAGGCTACCCGACCGCCCCTGGTGTATATGAAACGATATCAATATGTACAGTGTTGTGTTATTGGTGTACACGAACGGAGGTCAAGATACAAACTATTGTGTAATTGGTGTACAAGAAGAAATGTCAAGATGTGCATTGTTTTGTTATTGGTGTGCAAGTACATATGTCAAGATGTACAGGGTTGTGTTATTGTGTACAAGAACAGATGTCAAGATGTACAGGGTTGTGTTATTAGCGTACAAGAACGGATGTCAAGATGTACAGTGTTGTGTAATTGGTGTATAATAACGGATGTCAAGATCGAAACTGTTGTGTTGATGGTGTACAAGAGGAAATATCAATATGGTCATTGTTGTGTTATTAGCGTACAAGAAAGGATATCAAGATGTACTGTGTTGTGTTATTGGTGTATAATAACGGATGTCAAGATCGAAACTGTTGTGTTAATGGTGTATAAGAGGAAATGTCAAGATGTACATTGTTGTTTATTGGTGTACAAGAGGAAATGTCAAGATGTGCATTGTTGTGTTATTGGTTAGCAAGAACATATGTCAAGATGTACAGTGTTGTGTTATTGGTGTATAAGAAGAGATGCAAAGATGGACAATGTTGTGTTTTTGGTGTACAAGAACGGGTGTCAAGATGTACAGGGTTGTGTTATTGGTGTACAAGAACGGATGTCAAAATGTACAGTGTTGTATTATTAGTGTACAAGAACGGATGTCAAGAGCTACAGGGTTGTGTTATTGTTTTTTAAGAAGAAATGCCAAGATTTACAGTGTTGTGTGTGTTATTGGTGTCCAGATGTCCATCGTTGACTCATTGGTGTACAAGAACGGATGTCAAGATGTACAATATAATGTTGTGCTATTGGTGTACAAGAAGAAATGTCAAGATGTACAGGGTTGTGTTATTTGCGTGCAAGAACGGAATCTACGCTGTTGCAAGCAGTTTTTCGATATTTTAGGAATACAAATCTTTCAAGATACGAAGCTGTTTAATATAGTTAATTCACGGCTTGTGTGGTCTTGTGCTATTCACATCTTAATTTATTCATAGAACCTTTAACTGTCATTAATGGGTTGAACCAACACACAAAATGTGTTTGAGACAAGCAGGCGGTGCATGTGTACAGAACCGGACAAACCTATTTGGCTTGTTACAGGAAGAGAGGGTGCACGCGCATGTTTTGCACGCGCATGTGATAACGATAAAATTGACTACGCTCCCGTGGACATACATGTTGCTCATAGGCTATCAAGAGGTCGGTGTGACAAGTCTATACGAGAATTCTCTACAAGTCGTTTGATAGAAGTTAATTACAAACAACTATACATGTCAGAGCTGGGTAAGCATGGCCAAATCATACATTCTCAGACTTGATAATTGGTCTATATAGACATATATTACAATTTACGATCAGCCATCACCATGTCATGCGCCCGGGTAATGTTTTCCGGAATGGTTGCTGTTGAAGGCCTTCCTGGACGCGGGTCATCGTCAAGGCTCTCCCCGCCACGCTTGAATTCCGCAGCCCACTTCTTTACAGCGGAAAAGGAAGGGGAATCATCCCCTAAAGTGGAGACCATGTCAGCATGTATCTGTGTTGGAGTTAGCCCTTGCAGTTGGAGGTACTTGATGACTGCCCTATAGCCAGTTTTGTCCATTTCTGGTGATTTCAATGGGTAGGTTCACAAGATGGTCTGGTACAAAGACAATACTAACACTACAGTTGCAGTTCTTATGTCTATGATTCATTAAATGATTGTACTTGTTGGTGGCAAAAGTTTGTTTCAATCCGATTGAGATATCCCACTTAGGCTTAGAACTTTTCAGCCGGCCCTCGTACTTGTCGCGGACAGGTACGAGACACGCTACACCTTTCTTCACAATGGTAGGCGACACTGGGCGGACCTCATACATATTCACACGAAACGAGGCAGAAATCAGATTTTACGCACGCTTCTCGTTTTCTGTCATTTATCACTTCTCGTGTGTCCGAAACCAGTCATGACGGTAGGAAGCGTAGCACAAACGCAGGGGTGGATCAAAGATTTTAAAAAAGGGTTGGAGTTGGGCTGGGATCCACTTCGGTCATTTGCACCTTCAGCCGAACTAGGCTGCAATTTATTCGTGACCAACTCGTGTTATTCCGGGACAAGCAGGTTACGGAAAGGGGCGAGTGGTGACGAATGGGCTGCAGTTATGGAGTAATATTTTCACTGGACCAACGAGGCTATGCATTGTCCAATCAAAATCACGTAACAAACCGACATCCGGTTCGTAAACTACCGTGC